GACGCGTTTCAGAAAGGCGGGGCATAGAGGAGAAACAATAATGTACAGTATGTAGAAAATGTGTTTTTTTAACCTTAAACCGCATAAACACATTTCATTACACCAAATACACAAAATAATGTTCTTTTTAGCAACATCATATGACCCCTTTAAGTCTTCTGAAGATAGATACTAGCTAACTCTTCATGGTGAACAGAGCGAAATTTAAGTCGTAATTCCCTGAATTACACACAAAGCAACAGAAAATAGGCATTATGAATCTAGCATGCAGGACAGAAGAGCCCCTAGGAAGAGGAACACAAACACAGAAGCAGACAATGATCCTAAATAACTCTCCTTGTAAACATCTATATGATTACAAAGTAATGAGCCTGCTTGGTTTATATGGACAGGAAATGATAAAACTATCTTTCCTAGAAATCTCCTATCCAAGATGTCTAAGCCTCATATGAAGTAATAAAGCTGTGAAACTATATTTAGCATGAAACAACCTAAAACAAAAATGATCAGTTTTCTAAAAGACTCAAATGTATTGATTTCTGATGTTTCTGTACTGATTCTAGTGCTAGTTCAGATTATTAACTCATTGAAACAGTGTGCAAGTGTCAGAACCCTAAAATAAACCTAGAGACTGGCTGAATTTATCAAGTAGTTCCTATAACCCTGGTCTTACATCCTAAAATTACTCAAATCAAAAGCGTGTCACTTTTGCACAGTGCAAGGCTCTGCTGTCCAGCTGTGCGCTCTGGGAGGCCAGCGGTCATTTGGGAGCGTTTAGCGTGGAAATGACACTTCCTGTGTACCTTCTGCTTTCAGCTGGGGGTTGTTTGTGTTGATGCACCAATCATACCCTGAGACTTAAACTGTGCCACAACATCGCCAATTCCAAACTGCTCCATATGTTCCTGAGAGCCAGGGATTCATTTTGTAGTGGACATATGTTGTTTGTGAATATCTCTGATTCCATTCTGTTTTAAGTCCTAGTGTATCATAAAGAAAACATTCTGGGCTTTTCTGTGATACAAAATGTTACAGGAGAGAGCGAGACTAGTTGGGGCATGAAGATGTTGTTGTAAGTGTTGAGTAATTATAAAGTGATACAAATGCTTGGTTTCTCTAGCAGTGGGTTTTATGAATCCAAACACCTTAAACAAGTGAACCCCACAAAAAAAAAAAAGGAAAAAAAAAATACACTGACACACATTCAGACAAGTGCCAACTATATAATGAGGGTAGATTATAGTCTAGACAACATTTTTCGTAATAAGTCAGCGAGGGGCAAGTTGTCACGTGTGTAATTTTATAATTATTTATAATTTTGTCTGTTTCATGAATTGTTTCAGAATAATTTTCCTGTTTACATATAGTGGAGCCTACAACACAAAACAGACACTGAGTGAAGAGAAAGCTTTATTTATTTATTTTATTTTATATTTTACTTTAAATTTCATATTTTAAAAAAGGTGTTGTTCTCAAATTAGTGTTAACAGAAGCTCCCTAATGTGACAACTTACCCCATATGAAAACATGGCCATAAATGATCAATTATTTTTTAACTTTAAATTGAACTGTATTTTTAATTATTTATTTATTTATTTTTACTTGGGAAATGACAGTGGAAATTACATTTTTTTTTTTTTTTTTTGTATTCAAGTCTTTAAGGTATGTGCCTGACTTTCAAAATAAATTAAACTTAACCTTGCAAATATTCAGTGGAGTACAAAAGTGTGACAAATAGCCCAAAGTCTCCACTACTATAATATAATATAATATAATATAATATAATGAATGGTTGATTCAATAGCAAGTAAAACTCAAATGTCAAAAGAGCTTTGGTCACTAACAGCTGCTCTTTAATGCACTTCATCTCAAATGACCCCATCAGTTTCAAACATAACTTTAACAGGAACTCTCTTGCTCTTGGAATGAGAAATAAATCCATCTTTTCAACGCAAGAGAGAATGACAAACACATGAGCGAGTGTTTTATATGAAGTGTTTCAGTGCTGCTCAGCTGTTATTTTTAGTCTCTTCCTACAGTAAACACAGAGTCAGATTATTTGACACTTAGAACACCTATTCAGCAGGTCGCAGTTGAATGTACAAACTAAATAACAACAACAAAATACATAACTGTTACATATACAAAGAGAATAGATATAAGCACGCATACCTTCTCTTGTGCTCGGGTTATCCTCTTCTGTACATTACTGGCCAGTTTCCCGGCGTTGACTCCTTTCCCTATCTCTGCCATGTTTGAGCTTCAAGTTTCCAAAGTGAATAAATAAATAAATAAACCGTTATGAATGAAGTAAAGCGCAGAGAGACTGGCAGGAGATACAGAAGAACAGTAATGTATGGGGAAATACCGTCGGATCAACAGGAGGTCGGTGGGTAAACCCTCTTAAAGAGACAGTGCGCGAGTTCAGAGTCCTGAATGTGGACACGGAGAGTTATTATTAGACTAAACTCCTTCCAAACTACGCTATCAAAAAGTTTAAACTTAAAACTGTCAAACAATTTACGGTCTAACGGGTTCCGTTATTCGCCTGTGGTGACAAGCGACTGGAAAACAAGAGAGAGAGAGAGAGAGAGAGAGCTAGAGCGAGCTGGACAATGTTTCCACTCCTTATTATAGACGCTCTCTTAAAGGCACAGGTAAACACGATCAAGATATTATAAGCATCTTAGTTTTTATTTATTTTTATTTATTTTTTTGTTTCTGGAAAGTTGCACAAAGTCTTATTGGATAGTTATACCAGGGGATTTCAAACTGGGGTCCAGGGACCTCCTAGGAGTTGAAAGGAAGTGCTAGGGGTTCTAGAATATTTTAGAGAAAAAGAGTGAAAAACAGTAAAAATAAAAAAAATATGATTAAACACAATACATAGATAATAATATATAGAATAAAAAAAGAAAGACAATTTTTTTTTCAAATAAACAAATTTATAAAAATTGATAAATTAAGAATGGATTTAAATAAATAAGCAATATGTCTAACAGTACAGAACTACAGGCAGTAGTAAACAAAACGTAGTCATGTAAAAACTAAATATTTTCCAAATAATATTTTACACATTTATTATATTGATTTTTTTTCACTGTATAAATTAGGTCTTTATACATGAAAATATACAGTTGCCTTTTAAATTTTAGGATGGGGAGTTTATTATTTTTGGGGGTCCATAGCATCTGAATTCAAAACCCCTGCATTATACAACAGATAAGCTAATTACATTTACCATTGCTCTGCAGGTGAAATTCAGTCATTTCAATAAGAATCAATGCAACCAGGATTTTTCCGTTCCAAAAATTGGTCACGTCAGTGACATGTTAATTGGCATTTACATTTATGTATTTAGCAGATGCTTTTAACCAGTTGAGTGATAAATAATAATATAACATAAGAGGTTCATTGTGAAAAGTCAGTAACATTAAAGGTGTCGCAATACAATTCTATAAAGCTTCCAAAATGTCATCCTTTTTAACCTAATGTTTAGTCTCTTGAGAATTTGAAAGATGAGACTAGTCTAAATGCCATGTCTGCATGGTCTCATTAGTAAGAGGAGAGTTTATCTATTCAGTGGGGTCATATCACATGTTTGGTGGGATTCCTGTTACATTAAACCCATCTGAATCTCTTGCACACTGTACTGACAGTTTTCTGCCAGCAGGGAACAATTACATAGACCAGTGGTTCTAAACCGGTTTTTATTACAACAGATACACCAGAGGAAAAACTCAGCTTAGACAGGAGCGCCTTCCAATATTGTCTTGGACAAATGGGGGATTTGGAGTCAAAAAGGCTGAGGACAACTGACACAGACAAAACATCAAACAGATGACAAAAATAATGAATACAATTGTCATAGCCAGCAAAGAGCAAATATGAGACAAAATAAATAATTTGTATAAAGTTTAATTTCAAAAATAGATTTTAAATACTTTACCCGAATACCTTATATTACCTTAATGATATTACAATGCACTTTTTTGAAATGACATTTTTTAAATAGTTTAACCGACTGTTTTAAGGCTAATGACAATCTAATGAGGAAAGAGACTGGATTATGGGAATAGCGAACAAATATAAGGCACAGACAATGTTTGGTCTCTCACAATTTCTGTAAGAAGCAAGACAAGAGGTCAGTTTGTAATCTGTTCTTTTTACAGTTAAAGGTGATGTGTGGATTTTTTTCAATGTGAAATACTTTTTTTATTTTTAGCTTATACAGCTACAAGTTTGATGATTCTCCCGAAAAGCGTAAACACTGACACTGCTCCATTTGTTTGAGCATCTTGACAAATCCGACACAGCAACACTGACTCAACCGATTGACCCTTTTCACAGACGGTGATGATGCTTTTCCCCAGTTATTATCAAGCGCTGCAGTGATGACATAGTTTTGTAGGACAACCTTAAAGTTCGCATCACGCTGGTTCCCTCAACAAAAAGCCAATAGGATTTTTCCAGACTTTTGGATTAATGAAGAAAATAAGCTCTGTGACCAACAAATGTTTATGATTCTTACACGTTTTGTTCATTATTGCTTTAAACAAACAACACCATGACTCTTGCATGGTCAAGCATGGTGGCCAACTCTTTCAGCCTTCATATAAAAATTTTTACGTGAAAGTTTGAGTTAGAAAAGATTGAAAGAGATTCTAAACACATGGAGGAAAGTGGGCTTGTGAGTAGATGAGTTTTCCTGTTTGGCATGATGATGTGTAATATCCTCAACAACCTCTGTAGTCCCATTTAGACACTTGTTAGAAACTGCCTTTTCAAGACAAGCATTACTAATATATTTTATGTCATAGAATATAATGTGAAAATATCTTGAGCTTGTGTTAACTACAGACCTAATTTCAGACATTTAACCAATAAACCATTTTAAAAAAAAAACACTGACTTCTATAAGATGGAACTTTAAGTGTTAAAATACTAACTTGTTTCCTGGTTTTGGCCTACAAAAACATGTCATCCTTGCAGCACTTCACAGAAGTTTACGTTTTCCGCTTCTGAGAACCCTGGAAATTTGAAAAAGGGTCCATGGCATGAATTTGGGGTTGGCATATCTGGGCATTAAAAATTATTTTTGCAATTCTGCTTGGTGTCGCTGGTTGCACAGAAATGACACTCTTCACCTTTAGTCATTAAAAAGTCTGCTTTTGGTACACATTTGCCATAGCGCATAGCACTATCCCCTTAAAGGGATAGTGCACCCAAAAATGAAAATTCGGTTACACTTTACTTGAAGGGGTGTGCATAAGACTGACATGACACCTTCATAATCATGACATGACACATGTCATGAATATGAAGGTTTTTTATGCATGTTTATGACAACTGTCATTAAGTGTCATTCGCTCAGTTATGTAATTTTTAATGCAAATATGACATTATTTGACCTAACCCTAACCTAACCCTACCCCTACCCTTACCCCTAACCATAGCCCATAACAAAGACATCTCAAACAATGTCATCTTTGCATTAAAAATTACATAACTGAGCGAATGACACTTAATGACAGTTGTCATAAACATGCATAAAAAACCTTCATATTCATGACATGTGTCATGTCATGATTATGTAGGTGTCATGTCATGATTATGTAGGTGTCATGTCATGATTATGTAGGTGTCATGTCATGATTATGTAGGTGTCATGTCATGATTATGTAGGTGTCATGTCATGATTATGTAGGTGTCATGTCATGATTATGAAGGTGTCATGTCAGTCTTATGCACACCCCTTCAAGTAAAGTGTTACCAAAAATTCAGTCATTAATTACTCACCCTCACATCGTTCCAAACCCGTAAGACCTTTGTTCATCTTCAGAACACAAATGAAGGTATTTTTGATGAAATCCGAGAGCTTTCTGACCCTTCACAGACAGCAATGGAACTACCACATTTAAGGCCCAGAAAGGTAGTAAGAACGTCGTTAAAATAGTCCATGTGACATCAGTGGTTCAACCTTAATTTTACAAAGCTACGAGAATACTGTTTGTGTGTAAAGAAAACAAAAATAATGACTTTATTTAACAATTTCTTGTCTTTCGTGTCAGTCTTCGACGCGTGTTCAGGAGAGTACCACGACGCATGCGTGTGATGCTATTGACGTAGAACCCGGATGAGCTGCACCTTGTTTGCAAGCAGAGGAAGATGCATGTTAAACATGTCTGAAGATTGTGACTTGCAATTTTTTGCACAGCCTTACTTATTCGAACCAGAATATACAGATGATGAACGTTCTACGTCAGAAAGCCGGCTCCTGCGTCAGCAGTTTTTTGTTTTCTTTGTGCACAAAAAGTATTCTCGTAGCTTCATAACATTATGGTTGAACGACTGATGGACTACACATGGACTATTTTAACAATGTCCGTTCTACCTTTCTGGGCCTTAAATGTGGTGGTTGTGTTGCTGTCTATGCAGGGTCAGAAACCTCTTGGATTTCATTAAAAATATCTTAATTTGTGTTCCAAAGATGAATGAAGGTCTTACGGGTTTGGAACGACATGAGGGTGAGTAATTAATGACAATCATTTTTGGGTGAACTATCCCTTTAAGTCATAAACCCTGAGCGTTCAATCATTTCCATCTGTCTGTCTTCCCACCACTCACTCATCTCCGAGTTCATTTTCAATTCATCATCTTTCGTGATCTTCTAAGGCCCACGGATGAAAGAGTTCTGAGTCTAGCAGTAGTGTTCCCACACTGAGTAGGACCTGAGAGTACCAGTGTAAGCCGTTCTTAAGGATCCGATCCGGTCCGGTCCAGCTGTACAACAGGCGTAGAGGTGCAAATGCCCAGTGAGCTAGCCGTGGTTCATTCACCGCAGCGTAGCATGAGGTCATCACTCCATTCACCACCAAAGTCCCATGGGCAGTAAGTGGGGCGTAAGCCCCCCGGTCCTCCCGCACCTCCACTCGAGTGATCCGTGAAACACGCTTCCTGAGATCTCCTTCATAAACGATCAGCAAACACTGCCCTGGCTGGGCATCACTGGCAAATATCGTCCGGAGGGATCCAGGCTTTGGCTGGCCCCCGCTGGAGCAGTTTCCAACCCAGACAAACAGTAAATGAGCTGCCGTTAAGGAGACGCTGGCCCCATCCTCAGTGCTGATCACATAAAAGTGCTTCTGGGTAATGGGGCTACGGTCCAGGAAGGTGAGGACTTTGCTGTAGACGAGCTCGCCAGTCCCGTCACTTCCCATCGAGGCCAGAACAAGGTCTCCTGCTCGTAGGTCTCGGATTGGTCTATGAGTGCCGTCCTCCATCGTCACCAGAGCCCCTCCAGGAAAACAGCCGCCCGTCTTTGCTGCTACTGAGTGCTCTGAAGAAAAGTGTGAGGAATGGAATGGAAGAGAAGAATGAAAAGAAAGGAATAGAAATGTTTCATTAAGGAAATAAAGAATGGATTCAATGCCCATGCCCGTTTCTAATCTTCACTTCTGACTAGTTGATATACCTTTGGCCTTCAACCACTTGTTCATTGGTTGGGCCTATGGTGTTTCCCTCAGTCATTGGTTGAGTGGGTAAATAGGATCAGGGACTTTTACTACTTCTTCATTGGGACGTTGGT